TCTGGTCCAGTCCAGCTTACCTGGTCCAGATCCAATCTGGTCCAGTCCAGTTTACCTGGTCCAGTCCAATCTGGTCCAGTCCAGTTACCTGGTCCAGTCCAATCTGGTTCAGTCCAGTTTACCTGGTCCAGTCCGATCTGGTCCAGTCCAGTTTACCTGGTCCAGTCCAATCTGGTCCAGTCCAGTTTACCTGGTCCAGTCCAATCTGGTCCAGTCCAGCTTACCTGGTCCAGATCCAATCCACAACACCAATCCACTTTTCACATAGTCTTCAATGTAATCCAGTCCGGTCCGCCTTACCAGAATCATTTGCGATATTAATCCGTGCATCCACATTAGAATATTTCAAAATTGTAAACAGCAGCTTGGCCGATCTGAGTACTTTAAACTTCAAAACTTTTTTGACGTCCAGTGGGAAAAAAATGTTTTGGAAAAAAGTTGTCATGGCACCCTAAATTTTCACAAGCCAATAGGTGCTAAGATAGTAAACACAGTTTACTACCTGTTGAGAATTAAAATCTTGCATGGAGATGGGGACATACAAGACTCATTATAAATATTTCTCACATCCAAGCTATTTTGGCCAATATTTCAAAATCATCAGCATACCACAGGGGCCAAAACTCCTTCTGGTTTCAATAACGTAAAGGTATGAGCGTATTATCTAACATTTCCAGACTTCAAGGCTAGGTGCAACATACCTACACATGCCACTGAGCAGTTTCAGCGGAATCCACATTACAACGCTGGACAGCGCTCATCTTGTACGCCTTCTGAATCACTACAACGCCCATCTCACCTCATATATGATACTCCAAAGGTGTATCCATTCTCGGGCACATCAAATAAATGCAACATGTTGAACTAGATACCTGGTCCAAGCAAAGGGTCAGTGGTGATCACACTCAAGGTCAGTTAACCTTGTTCCACCCTTAGAAGGATCATAATGACCTAAATCACAAATTTGTTTTGATTTTGTGGTGGTGAATAAGTTGTCGAAGTATTGCTCTAGGCGGCATGTTCCTAAAAACGAAATGTTGACCTGGGTCATATAGGTCAGTGGGCCTAATCAGAACTGTGTAATACGCCGATCAAGGATGGCGGTTGTGGTTGCTGTCACTCAGAAATTCGAAATGAGCTCCAAAAACCACGTCATCCAGCAAAAAACGCAGGCTGGTTCAAATCTTGTCTGACCTGCAATACCTGACCCTAGGTCAAAAGGAACTTGCTGTAATCCCAACTTCATTTATCGAATTGCCTAAGAACCTATTTCAGGGATGTTAATGACTACGCCTACTTCATCGTTGTCACATCATATGTACGATTCGTAGACACTAGCTTCGCTGACCGCCGCTGCTGATTTTGGCATGCTTTAGGTCAGCAACCCCACAAGGCACATCTAATCTTGGGTGTGAAAAGATCCAATATTAAATTGCCTACAGCTTTGCAAGATTCGCACCGCTTGAAGTGATTGTGTAAAAGTCTTCGGAGGGGATCAATTGATATCCCTCTCACCCGAGCGCGTGCTATTATTATATTGCTACCATGGCAACTGCGGGTAGACCGAGAGTACCTCAACATGAGTGCAAAGTCCACAGCTTCGAGACGCAACTTGCTCCAAAATATCGCCGGCAGCCCAGCCCGCCCCGCCCCTGCTGGCGATCCAGCCCACAAAAGCCCTCTGCGCTTCAGTGCTTAACGTGTCATTAACCCGCAGGCAATGCGCTATCGCATTTGCATGCATGTTGCCACATTTGTCTTTTCACTCTACTTTTACACCACCCGTTAAAATGAACACACAATGGCATGTCAGTGTCACCTATTTAACAGCATTGCTTGAAATTAATGCTGTTGTTTTAACACCATTGATGTTGTTTAGAGAGCATTGGTCAAGGTACGTAGGCAACAGAATTTCTTTGATGCCAAAGAGATCTTAAGCGCTGTGATGCAGTTTTCACCTAAAAAAGAGGAAAGAGGATGAAATTCAATTTGTCATTAGAATGCACCAGAGACTTTACATCTCTACATCTACATAAATGGGCCAAGGGCAGTGTCTCCTAAAATAGCATTCATCAACCGATAGCTTTACAACGACAGAGATGAAATGTTGGATTTTTAAGCCATGGGATGTCTCCTCAGTTGATCACTGTACATAAGCACAAACACCATTCGAATGTGTCACAAATATCTCAATGGCATGACACACATTCCAGAATCAAAGACAGTCTCCTGCATGGTGTTGATTTTCTTAACTGAGTATATCACGGTAAAGCACCAAATAAATGTCACATGGTAGCTCCGAAATGATTCGCATTTCACTCTCACCACTATCCCCTTTTCATCCCACAACCGTCGCCGCGGGGTTTGTGTGCTGCGTGAAAGTAAGAACTGCAATAATATTTTGTCTACGCATGTTCGCATCTCCATTGACATCATTGACATCCAGTCATGCCCCCAAAAAACGTTGGGCATCGTTACACGCTGCACCAAAATCTATATG